GTTTATAATGGCAAATGATACTTTGAATATTACATGTTAATAACTTGATTGGAATTATAACCTTGAATTGACAGTTTGATACTTTGAAAATTTTGAGCCAGCCCTACCTCCAATGGCTGTAGGGTGGGGCTCAAAGGAGTCAGTGTGCTAAAATTTCTTCATTTTCCTTGTTAAGAATCAAAGGTGCTAGTTTCAAATCCTTTTTAGTCTGAAATCTGTATGCTAGATATTGAGTAAGGTGGTTTTATTGTTTTTTGTCAATTTGAATAATATTTCTGTTCATGTTAAAAACAAAACCAACTCTCTGTATAAATATATCAGGTGACCGTTAAGGCCCATGGGCCTCTTGTTATAATATACTACTTCTAACCATCAGGAAAGTAACATCAATTAAGTGTCTGTAAAATTTTATCTTGAGTAGCAAATAAATCATAACCTCAAAACTTGCATATCTTATGTTAATTTTTATCTTAATTTGTGACCTTGGCTTTTGGAAAAGGTCTTGAAAATACCCAAAGTACACTTCCTAGTGGTGGTTACATTACTTAACAATAAAATAATATTCCAGGGATAGAAAAGTCTGATTTAACCCAATTGTGACCTTGTGTATGGAATTTTAAAGAAATATAAAATGATAATGCTCCGACATGATGACGTTGACTGGATTTTCAATAAAACAAATCATCAGTCATTCAAAGCTACATGTAGTTCCTGGTATACAACAGACACTGTAAAATATTACACTTTTTTATATTTAATGAGATCAATAAGTTTCGAATATGACGATAAATAAAAGATTACCCTCGTTGCTCAAAGGCACCTGATTTGAGAAGACTATAAATGAGCCAACGGAAAAGGGACCCATAACAAGAACACTTTTACAACCTCCCAGACATGAGGAGGTATGAAAGGGAATAATGTTAGCAATACAGTGAGGCTGACTTCTTATTCTCTGGTGTTACTACACTTTGTAGGTGTCTGTCATATCTTGAAAGTCATATAAAGTATATTGGAGAAATTTCTTTGAGATTACACACTGTGTGCCAGAAAACATTGTACATTTTTTATTCCAACATTAGACATACCTAAATGATATGTGATCTTCATCATTGGCAAATGTGATGATACGTTTGCTATCTTCTTTCGGAACTGGAAATAAATATTTCAGAATATTCTTTACCTGAAAGTAAAAAGTAATATTTATTTATCATGTTATCAGTCACATTATTACTATTTGGTTAATAGTTTTGTTCAGAATTGACGCTTGTTTTTCCACCACTAACATATTTTCCTATCTTTTTTTAATCTTCATTCCAAAATTATAAAAAAAAATATACAACTAGGGTGGATAATGTTAATAAATGGTAAAATATCTGAGATCATGTCAGAACAATTTAAGGTACAAATCTAATAATGTATAACATGAAATTATTGTAACATCATGTATTGATTTGAAAGGTTTTGGCCAAAGTTCACAAACATGAAAACATCAAAAGACAGCATTCCTGATTGTTGAATGCTATATAGAACTGTCATATACTGAGGCTGCTAGCTATTCAGTGTGATAACACAATCACATCACTTTTTCTAATTTTTACATGTGTAATACGCCACCTATTGTGATGCTCACAGCAGCAAAACACAAAACTGGTTGTGTTTTCCTTTGATTTTTCATTGTAAATATCAGATAATATGCAACTGCACAATTCAGTTGAGTGTATGATAAACTCATTTAAATTCCAATAGAATTCAATACAAGAGGCCCAAGAGGGCCTGTATCGCTCACCTGAATATTTAAGCAGTCATAGCAAAATATTCTCATTAAATATTATATTGCACTAAAAATATTTCCCTCGCAAACTTTGTTGGCTCCATCTATTATCTATTATATTAGATTCTATGCTTTTTGATTCTTCTTCAGAAGTTGCTTGACATATTTTTCCCTGTGATCTTGTAAGTAGGTCAATGTCATTTTCCTTCTCAAATTGGTTAGCTCTATTCCAAAAAGCTACCAGCCAAATCTTATGAATCCATTCCTTTTAGTTCTCAAGAACAAATCCATTAAAAT